TATATATATATATATATATATATATATATATATATTTATTTATTTATTTATTTATTTTTCTTAGACTTAGAGTTCGAATGTAGTCCAAATGTAATGGTCAAGATTGCTCATATATATATATATATATATATGTATGTATGTGTCATGGAGTACCTAGTTAATTTTAGTGGGCATGCAGAACATTAAAGGTTTAAGGCATATTTTCATTTTTATGGGAGCATGTATCTCTGTTAGAGTGCAGTTTTAAAATTCCCTTTATTTTCAGGTTATTTCTGGACCATATAGTAAGTTGATGTCATTTTCACAGATGTAAGTCCTCTTGATGCTCTATGGCAGCATTTTGCTGTAAAAACTATAAGTTCGAGATTCCGATGAGCTATAGAAATCTGGGGAAAGTCTTAATTTATTCATGAGAAATGAACAGATGTAGTATGATGAGTATTACAAATAATAAAAATGAGCAGTATAGTTTAGTATAGTAGTACTAATATAGACTCCAAGTCCCTCTTTTGTCCAAAATGGTATTTGAAGGCTGTTCTGTCTAAGCTGAAATGTGCCTCTGGTAATTCTATTGTAATAAAAATAATACATATGTCAATTTAATGTTACACATCTTTATTTTCACTTCTCAAAACACATAAAGTATGCTTTCCTCAGAATTCTATCAGCCCTACATCTGTAACCAGCAGAACATCAAACTCTAATTTTGTAATTTTCTACATCAAACTGTAATTTTTACAGAGGAATATTAAGGTTTTTGTAAACCTGTTGTTTGCTGTCACACAAAAATTCCCACAGTGGTTAAACCCAGTAAAATAAAAATAAAAACAGGTGGTTTTGCAATGCCAATAAATAGAGGTAATCAATTTTTTTTAAATTAAGAAAATTAAAAATGGCCAAGCAGCCTCCATCGGACTGCATGAGATAGACTGATCCCTGTATATTGTCCAATAACAACGGCAGCTTTACATCACATTACAATTAAGTGTTTTTTTATATATATATATATATATATCCATGTTTATGAGTATAGGCATAAAGAGACCTTCACTCATACCTTCATTAATGTAGACTCAGGTTCACTGTAGACTGCAGCAATTCACAAGACATTTATTAGTGCCACTGATCAGTAGGCAAGACTCATAACTGAGAAACACAATTGAGTGTTTTATAAGTTTTTATCTCTGTCTGACTGACGGTTTCTGTTTGTTTTTCAGGTGTGTTTGGTGATACAGATAAAGTAGAGTCAGTGTCAGTGATGGAGGGGGATTCTGTCACTCTACACACTGATGCTGGACTACAGAGTGATGAAGAGATTGAGTGGAGGTTTAACAACACTCGCATAGCTAGAGTGACTAAGAACACTGCTACATATGATAATGATGTGAAATTCACAGACAGACTGCAGCTGGACATTCAGTCTGGAGATCTCAAGATCAGAAGCTTCAGAATCACAGACTCTGGTCTTTATAAGTTTGAGATCATCAGCCCCAGATTGTCCTCAGAGAAGACATTCAGTGTCAGTGGTGAGTGTCTGTTTTTAATTCAATAATTTTTATTTACATAATTATTTATCACTCTGAAACATTATCTGGATGCAAAGTGTTACTGGCAAACTGCCAGGAAAAAAATCAAAATCAAAAACCAAATAATCATTCAATAGTATTTCAAAACTGATCAAAAAAAAATAATAATTAATGAGACCCAGTGGCCCAGACAAACAGGCGACATGAGACCAAAGTGTTTGACAACTCATGCAGTTTACAGACAGTCACTTTAGCTCTCAGAACCTTTAAAGCAGTTGTTTAGGTTACACATTTAAATAAACAGACAGCAGAATGGAGCAACACAACGTTTAGAAAATCTTAGCTGTAACAGATTTATGTATTGCTGTGATGGAGTTGCACAGTAGGATATTACACAGGTGTGCAGGAGTGGCATATTTCCTCCCTGATCAACAGTTACCTTTTTTTCTTTTACACCTGAGCAAAGCGTCATTTAACATGAGTGGAGAACCAGCACCAGAACCACAAAACTGATGGTTCAGTTTCAACAGATGGATCGTGGACTAGAGGTGGAAAAGTGCATGAACACAATCTCCTCAGTACATGTTTAAGCAATAGCATAGACGTGTTCCAGATGAGCAAACACTCTAAAAAACATCATGCAGATGTAAATGCAGATGTCAAATAGACGTCTCTGTGATGTACATGTGCTCTCAGGGCTTTAACTGAATTCTCACATGCTATCAAATAGATGTTTTTTTTTTGTTTTTTTTTGGTACCATCTGCTACCTAAAGCGTGCACAAATAAAGTCGCCACTCAAACAGAGAATACACAAAAACATTAAAATGCTACCTGAAATGCTCGGACATTATATCAAACTGGCAAATAGGCACAACTCCTGCATGTGAGAATTAAATCGCTATCATATTGACATCCTTGGCATTAGCAAGGCCCGTTGGACAAAGTATATAAAGTATAGGGACTTGAATCGACAAGTAAAGCGAAGTTGCCGACATGACGAGCATGAGTGGGTTGACTGGAAAGGTACCAAGGCACAAGAAGCTGCACATCAAAATGACACGCACATGCTATATCGGATCGTTTGAGGGCTCACTGGCTCCTACACTGGAAGCGGCACACCGATCAAAGATTGGAGCAGCAGGGTCCTTCCTACCCAAGACGAATGCAAGTGTCGGTGGGTTGAGCACTTCAAGGAAAAATTAAACCTTCATCAACCACAGCATTCGATCCCGGCCTCCTCTTCCCTACACCCGATCTGCCAGTCAACCTCGACATGATCATAGCAGTAGAAACGAAAAATACAATCCGGGTACTCAAGAATGGCAAGACTGCAGCCCTGGATGAGATGCTGCCTGAGCTACTCAAATCTGGTGACCAGTGCCTTGTTGACGCCCTGGCAGACCTGCTCAGTGCTTGCTGGGAGGCCTCAGTAGTCCGCAAGGAATGGAAATTATGATCGTCACGCTTCCGAAAAAAAGGTGATCTCTCCAAGTGCAGTAACTGATGGGGTATTACCCTGCTATCGATACCTGGAAAGGTATTTTCCATTGTCCTCCTAAACCACCTCCGACGAGCTGTCGATGCCTGCCTTAGAAATCAACAAGTGGGTTTCCGAAGTGGGCAATTGTATATCGAGCAGATTTTTATTCTTTGGCAAGTGGTAGTACAATCGCTGGAATACCAACCATGGATCTCACTGAACTTCATCAACGTTGTCAAGGCCTTTGACTCAGTGCACAGAGAAATGTTGTGGAAGATAGCCCAAGCTAACAGAATCCCATCTCTGTACCAAGGC